CACAATCCATTTATTAATTACTTATCCATCTCAATGGAAAGAAAATGTTGAAAACATTGTAGCAAATAACACAATTGATTATGTACCATCTGCTGAATTTTCACACTTCAAATAGCTTAGTTGGTTAGTCTGGTGCTGATAACACCAAGGTCACTGGTTCGATCCCCAGATCCTTCTGATCTATAATTCTATTATTCTTCCTACCCATATTCGCATGTGTGATTTCTGTTCCTGACGTCTAACAAATATGCAACTCCCATTGACCATTTCCAATTCTCTGTCATCCCCACTCCAGGCAACAAGCATATTCAGCATTCATCCTGATTTGCTTGCACAGAGTTTATGTTGCAGTTAGAATGCATCCAATCTTTACTGAAGAATCATTCTGATTGGTTTACCAGGCAGTTATACGACAGTGAGCATTGGTCCTGACTTATTTCCAGGGTGCTTCCATGATTTCCCATTAATCGTTCATTCATCTCATTCTTTTCAGTTCATTTCCTTGTTACTTTCCTAACTGCAAAAGTCCAGTTTGTGTGTGTTTGCGTGTGAAATGAATTTGTTGTGCTAGGGGGACAAAGCAGTTTCACCCACTTTAATAACACAAACTGAAAGTTCCAGAATGCACTTTGATCCCTCCTATGATATAGTTACAATATGAAGGTACCCTAGGTTTGTAGTACTATCCCCATACAGGAGATGTGAAGCGGAAGCTAAAAGCATGGCGGCTTCCATTTTCTGAGAAATGTTCTGTTGGTTGTTAGTAAATCACTCAGCCTGCTACCCATACCACCAGTCCAGTCAAAGGTGACTATGGGGTGCGACTTTCATCTTGCTTCAGGCTGAGGGAGCTGGCATTTGTCCACAGACAGCTTTCTGGGTCATGTGGCCAGCATGACTAAACCACTTCTGGCATAACAGGACACTGTGACAAGTGCCAGAGCACACAGAAACACTGGTTACCTTCCCACCACAGTGGTGCCTATTTATCTACTTGCACTGGTGTGCTTTCGAACTGCTAGGTTGGCAGAAGCTCGAACAGAGCAACAGGAGCTCACCCCATGGCATGGATTCGAACCGCCAACCTCCCGATCAGCAAGCCCAAGAGGCTCAGTGGTTTAGACCACAACATCTTGGGAATCTGAAGTAAGCATGAGCCCCGAAACATTGAGTAAATGTGCTTTGGTAAAATTGTTTAAAAGTTTTCTAGTCACATAGATAAAATTCAAGCTGATTTGTAAAAATGTTACATGGAAAAAAAAATACGAGGCATTACACTTACTTCTGTAAAACAAGAAAATCCTTAATAAAATATTTTTTTTTTAAAAAAAGAAGAAATTGCTACGCTGCCCCAAACCATTTGTGATTCGAGACTGTTATCCTGGCTTCAAAAGTGTACAGTAAACAGATGGGATTTTTTCTTCTTAAAAGCCATGATTAGTTTGAACAGTCAGGCCCCCTCCAGATTATTTTGCCAAGTGCAGAGCTACACATTTCCCTGTGATTGTATTTGCAACAGCAGCTATCTCAGCAAGAATGTTAACACACATAAGGCTATGATCTTGAATTAGGAAACAAAGAAATCACCCCTCAACCTCCTCACCGCATTCTGAAACCAATGTTTTATGGGGCTATTTCATCTCACTGTTCTCACCTGGTATAGAATATTGCTTTAAAATGTATTTTTAATATGCCACACAACATGGCACAGTAACATCACTAAAAACAACAACAACCCTATTCTTGCCTCCTCAGAAGTAAGTCCCACCAGAATATATTACAACCTGCTCAGCTAATTACTCCCAGACAGAATCACATCCTAAGGATGGAATAAATCTTTATTTTAGTTCCTTGGAGTTAACAAGTCCACATATGTTAATATAAAGATTTGGTCCAACAGAGAGGTGATGAAGCTGTCGGACAGAGTTTCCAATTTTGCACAAACATAATTGATTTCCTGGGTCCCATAAATGCCAAATTAGAACAAAAGTGTGCTTTGTTAACTTTATTTGATGATACAGAATCTATAACACAGACTAGAGTGTTTGTGCAACATGGGTATAAACCTCCTTTAGTTCCACCCTCAAGGTCATAGAGCACATCTTCACATTTGAGAGACAGCTTCTGAAGCAAGGGAGCCTTGTCTCTCCGTGTAGGTTCCCTGTGTGATTGAGAACCCTGATCCACAATCCTACAGGACACCACTGAGCCAAAGAACCAAGAGGCAAACTGGTGGAAGGCAACAGAATAGGCCCCAGGCTGAAGAACATAAATTTGGGCGGTGGGGGAGGAAGACGACAGGATAATAGAAGGGTGAAGGAGTAAAGGAAGGAAATGGGAGATCATTTGGAGCCCAAACTACAATTTACACAGCTACTGCTTATGAACTGCTAATTCAGCAGCTGCTTTTCTGTTGTGAAGCATGCTTTGCCATTGGAAAGTAAGCAGAGAAGAAGGGCTGTTTTACCTTCCACAAAAACTGCTTGGGTCTGCTGAAATAGGCAGTAGTGGGAGATCTGGCCCAGGGAATCTTTTTTATTAAAAAGCATTAAACATTTTCCTTGATAAGAGCATTTTCTAGAAGCCATTGGGAACCAAAGCTCTTTGTTCAAAGCTGAACTCAGTGGGAGCCAACACAGTCCTTCCAGATGTTGATGGACTACAATTCCCATCATCCCTGGAGAATTGGCCGTGCAGGCTGGGCTTGATGAGAGTTAGGGGCCAACAACATCTGGAAAATGCCATATTGGCCACCCCAGCTTAATCCTTTCCCTTTGGGCTGCTTACCCTATGAAACTCACCTGGGACCGCCACCACCAGTATTGTCAGTCTTGCCTTTCTGACACAGGTCTGGAACTCTACACCAGTGAAAGCATATCAGGAAGAAAATGGTAGCAAGGAGGAATATTAGCCACTTTCTTCCTGTCTGTTATCTGTTGTAAAATGCACCCTTGTTGCAATGGACAAGGTGCTGTTGGGCTGATATTACATGTGATGTTTAATTAGTAGTCTAGGACTGTGGGAAACATCACAGGGCACATGGGTAGGAAGCACTGTGTGTTCTTGACAGGAAAGGTATGTGAGGGGAGGCACACAGAATACTATAATGAATGATGATAAAGTTTATGGAGTTTGTCAAATATTCCTCAAAGATCCAATTCGGAAGTGTGACTTTTTGAGCCTTGCAACTTGCTGGTAATAAGTAGGAGGTGCTTAAAGGTTTTGAGGAAAAAGGTTATAACTTCTAAAAGCCTAAGAACTTTCTGTATGAGGCAATCGTTTCTTTTTAAATGTTCTTGCTTTGCACATAGCTATATTTGGTATGATATATTCCCCAGGAGTGAAACACAATGGTTTCGATTTTTCTTTTGAAAGAAAACACTTTGCTCTCCTTGGCCTCACATTCCAGGGAGCTGCAGACAAAATAGACTGAAGAGCTCCTGCTCAGAAGAAATCACCTATTTACTCTCTTTCTATTGACTGGCAAGCTGAATATATTTATAAGAATATATTTATAAGAGGCCCGTTGGAAGAGGCCTGTTGTCTTGTTTCCAAGGGAGTCTTGCCTTTGAGAAGCAGGAAGCATAAAGCCAGCCTTCCCTAACTTGGTGCCCACCAGATGTTTTGAACTACAATTCCCAGGATTCCTCGCAAGTGTGGCTTGGTTGTGCTGATGGGCGAAGCAGTAGTCAAAACATCTGGAGGGCACCAGGTGGAAGGCGGCTGCATATTAAGACAGCAAATAGAGGTTTTATATAACTCTCACTGCTAGGGTGGCCTAATTAAAACGGCAAGAAAGTTCAGAGCTATGACAAGAAGATACTACACAGAAGAGCAGGGCAACGTGTGGCACTCCAGATGCTGTTAGACTACAACTCCCATCTTCCCTAAACACTGCCCATGCTTCTGGAGTTGATGGAAATGGGAGACCAACATCTGGAAGCAGGGGCAAGGTGAGGCAACCACTTCGGGAAGCAGGATCCACGGGGCAGCAGATCCAGACCCCGCAGTGGCAGCAATAGATGTGGAGGCTGGGTCTGCCACTGCCTTGGCAACCCCTATGTCAGAGACATGGCCGGCAGAGAGGAATCTGCAGAGGGGGAGGAAGAGGCAGAGGAAAACAGGAACTTGATTCACACAACAAAAGCAAGATAAGCCCTTCTCACCCTGGAATGCTGCCTGTAAGTTTTCGCAGCAGCACAGAGATAAAGGAGCAGGAGGCAGGTGGAAGGAGGGGGTTGAACTCAACTCCAGAGGAGGAGGAATTGGCTGCACCTGAGTTTCCAAGAAGTAGGAGGCGGAGCAAGCGATTGGAGCAAAGGAAGACCAGCAGGAAGCAGGGGTGGGCTTGGCATATATCTGACCTTGGAAGGGGCCAGAAGCCAGTTGAGTCAACTGACTCTGACAATGAGGTATGAGCTGTGGGAAGCTCAGATTGCTGAAAGTCTGCTGTTGATAAATAAACCTCAGCTAGTCGAACTGCCAGCGTGTCATGTCTTGTGTGGGAGAAGTGCTAAACCTGACACCCTACCCCTCCATGCTACCTCTACAGTGGCCTCTTGGTGAATAGGAGGCACTTTTAATCTCCCCCCCCCTCCGTTATTCCCATTGCAGATCTTTATCCCCTTCCCCTTGTTCCTGATGCAGATCTTCACTCTCCCTTTCTCCTCTGGTGGGGGCGCCATTTTGTGGTTCACTGCAGGTGCCAAAATGTATTGGGTTAGCCCTGTCTGGAAGACTATCACCTCCACTCTCCAACTATTCAGAAGGGTAGATGTGAAGAAGAAAGGAAGGTGCTATTTCCATTGTTAGCCACTTAGAATAAAGAATAGCTGTCAAAGAATAGCTATTCATAAGAATATGAACATAAGAATAAAGGAAGCTGTCAAAAGCATTGCTCCATCTAGCCCAATATTGCTCTATCTAGCCCAATATATTGTCTTCACTGAGAGGCAGAGGATATCCAGAGCTTCTGGCAGAAGCCTCTTCCAGCCGTAACCTGGAGATGCCAGGGATTGATTCTGACACCTTCGGCATGCAAGGCAGATGCCCTTCCACTGAGCTGCAGCCATTCCCACAATCCCATAACTTGGGTCTACCTCTCCCCGCAAGAAAGTCAAGGGGTTCTTGCTTCTGGGTAAACCAGTATAGGATTTGCACTACAATAAGAACCATCTGGAGTGGGAACAAATCCCTCCAATACTGTCACCCAGACAGCCAGATTTTTGTCACATTCAATGCTCCTCATTAGTTAAATGGGATTTTAGATCAAGCCTTGCACCACAGCCCAGCAGAAGCTGCTAGCTCTTAAATTGTTGGCAATTATATTTAACCTTTTAAAGAGTTCAGAGACTAATTACTACCAGTTATATACAGTTCCAACCATCGTAGGTCGAATGGCGCAGTCATATCTACACCGCCTAGATTTGCCATAATAATAAGCTTTTTTATGTCTTTAGGTGAAATTGTAGAGTAATCTCAGAGTTGCTGATGTAATACAAATTAATTATCTTCAGTGCTATCAGCTGCTGCCCATTTTGTTTTGCAGTCAGTTTTGACACGTATGGACGGGTCTGCATTTTAATGGGCATGCCAGCCTTTAAAACTTGACAGCCTAACCTCCCAAAAGCCAAATGATTTGTCTGGAGTGACACCAGGCTTGGATTGTACATCCTGCATGGAAACATGATGTAAATGGAAGGCCAGTCCAAGCATTGGGCAGAGTGATGCACCAGTGTAAAGTATGATTCAGCCACCAGCCCTTCTGTACACAGAATGGGGTAGACTCCATCTTTCCCTTTGCCTTGGGCTGCAAAATGACTTGGGCCTGTGAAACGGCAAATAATATGAGTATGCTCATTTTGTGTTAAAGCATTGTGATGAATTATAAACGGTAGCATTTCACTTCTTTTGCAATGTACAACAGATAATTATCACTGTCGTTGGCCACATTCACACCCTACATTTAGACTGCTATGATACCACTTTAAACAGGGCTTCCCCTAAAGAATTTCCAGGGCTGTAGTTTGTTAAGGGTGGTTGTTAGGAGACTCCCCTATTCCCCTTCGCGAACTACAGTTCCCAGAGTGGTTTAACAATCGCTTTTCACGGGGAGCTCTGAGAATTATAGTTCTGTGGGGAATTGGGGCCTCCTCACAACCCTCAGCACCCTTAACAAACCACACCCTCCAACATTTCTCCGATGAAAATAGGGACATCTAGTGCTATTTTTCTAGAAAATAAGATGCTGGAAAGCATCATAATAATAGTAGTAGTAGTAATTATTATTATTATTACTAATACCCCACCCATCTGGCTGAGTTTCCCCAGCCATTCTGAGTGGCTCCCAATCCAGTATTAAAAACAATATAGCATTAAATATTAAAAACTTCACTAAGCAGGGCTGCCTTCAGATGTCTTTTAAAAATAGGATAGTTGCTTATTTTTCTTGACATCTGATGGGAGGGCGTTTCACGGGGTGGGCTCCACTACCAAAAGGCCCTCTCCTAGAATGGTAATGGCCCCCACCCGAGGGGTGCCGGAACTGAGTTCTAGTGAATTACAAGTGGGGGAAAAATCCCTGAGGACATCCTCTTCCATACTCTCCAACATTTTACCAATGAAAATAGTGATGTCTTACCATACCTTCCAGCATTTCTCCAATGGAAATAGGGATGTCCTAAGGAAAAGCAGGACATTCCAAGATCAAATTAGAAACTACACTGGCTTCTGTAAATCCAGGACTGTCCCTGGAAAATAGGGACATTTGGAGGGTCTGCTACAGCTCCCAGAATTTTTTTTTTTGGGGGGGGGCATGATTAAGCAGTATCACCATGCTTTTAATATAGGTTGCGAATGTAGCTTTAGCATGGAATGTTGGATGTTTCAACATTATGCTGTTTTGTTTTAGTCATGTTCTTAGTAATTTACTCTATTCCTTTTCTTCTTTTGTGCAATGGATAGCCTTTGACTATACAATAAAAGATCTGAAATTCTGCTAATTGCACTAAATCATCTTTCTGTTCCCCTGAAAGAGCCGATAAATTATTAATGGTAGGTCCCAGACCAATGTAATTCAAGAAAAAAAAATGGCAGTGAATCACGCCCTGGGCACAACTTGCGACCTAGTTATTTCTTGCGCCTTCCAAAGCTGACATTTCAGCCGAAACTGCCTTCCCCAGGAGGATGGTTTGCAGACAACAAAGGCCACATCTTTACTGCTACAAAGGAAATTTTGCTTCTTGCTAACACACTATAAAGGTCATCTGAACTGTTGGTTCCGATTGCATGGTTTTATGTGGAAACCAAGTATTGCATGTTATAAGTGAAAACCTGATTACTTGCTGTCTCCTCCAACAACCAGCCACAGAATCCTTCAGATCAACGATACAACAAACTGGTGTTGCAAATCTTAAATAGATTTTTGAGACAGTGAGAAAACACTAATAATCCATCATCAGGCTGCATGTACTGGTTTGGATAAGGAACATTCGGGACTGTACTTCATAATAGAAGTGTCAGTTTCTAGTCACTTGTCTTGTCAACTGCTTTCATCTTGTTTTATTGATTAATTTCCTAGGTCAGAAGGTATGGCAGTTTGTTACTTTTGTATTTTGAACATAAACTTAAGCATATTTTGATAAGTTAGTATATCTGCAAAGGGTGCATTTGTTGTATGCAGAAACCTATGTGTTCAAACACAGCTTTTAGTGATGTCGTTCCTAACAGCAAACAAGAGAATTAAGCAAAAAATATTTTATGAAGCCTTTACACTCCCTCCGCCTCATTGTTGCATCTGAATTTATTATTTAAGCCATCCCTGTATTTGTGAAACTTGAAATAGTCGCAAGTATGGCATTGGTCACACTTGATGTAGCAATTGTGTTTGTTACTGCTCCCTGCAGCAATTGCATAAAAGCATGAACAATGTGCATTGCTAAACACTCATGTACTTAGGGGCCCTGATTATATGCTTGTTGTAAGAAATAAATACTGATGTAAAATGGATGTACTCCTGGTAAGCACAATTAGAAGATACAGGCTGGATCTAGACACATCAAAAAAGTGATTCAGTTGAACTCATTGTAAACTTCATACAGGGAAATCCCGTTGGTGAAAGAAGGCACTCCACAGCACCATCTGCTGGCACAGTGTTCTAACGCATATACAGCGCTTTATCTTTACAAATGTAGCTGAGTTCAGAGTGTAGCACTGTGGTTATTAAGTGAAAATGTATGCATACCCTCCAACATTTCTCTGATGAAAATAGGGACACCCTATTTCATAATAAGAATAAGAATAACAAAAAATTTTAATTTTTACAATAATTAATTACAATAATTGCCCCAGCCACTCCGGGCGGCTTCCAACATATATAAAAACATAATGAAACATTAAAAATTAAAAATCTTCCCTATACAAGGCTGCCTTCAGATGTCTTCTAAAGGCTGTATAGTTACTTATCTCCTTGGCTTGAGGTTTACATAACTGCATATCTTCCAACATTTCTCCAATGAAAATAGGGATGTCCTAAGGAAAAGTGGGACATTCTGGGATCAAATCCAAAACCGGGACAGCTAATGTAAATCCAGTACTGTCACTTGAAAATAGTGACACTTGGAGGGGAGGGTCTGTGTATAATGTTAAACACATTTTTGGCTGTGTGGTTTTCAAGAAGGAGCGTCTCCACCCCCATCGTTCAGCCAGGACACTGAGGTCCAGCTCCAAGGGCCTTCTGGTGGTTCCCTCACTGCGAGAAGTGAAGCTACAGGGAACCAGGCAGAGGGCCTTCTAGGTAGTGGCACCCACCCTTTGGAATGCCCTCCCATCAGATGTCAAGCAAATAAACAACTATCTGACTTATAGAAGGCATCTGAAGGCAGCCTTGTTTAGGGAAGTTTCTAATGTTAAATGTTTTATTACATTATATTATTATTATTATTATTATTATTATTATTATTATTATCATTATCATTTTGGGAGCCACCCAGAGTAGCTGGGGAAACCCAGCCAGATGGGCAGGGAATAAATAATAAATTCTTATTATTATTATTAAGACACCAAAATCATCTCTTCAGCAACAGCAAGGAAACCAAACAGCAGGTTTGAATTTTGACTTCTGGAATAAGGTTTCCAATCTCCTAAATGTAGAGCAGAAAGCAGAGATATGTCCTTAGCTGCCCAAGGGTAGCAGAGAGCAAAGGAACAACGGCAACAATGTCTGGTTGCCTTTATTCACTGAAGCTTCCAGCGTTCCAGAAGGTTTGCACATGTCTGACTGTTTCAGGCCCACCTTTAATGATGATGCTTCAGAGAGCTGAAGAAATGTCTTGTACTTGTACATAAAACAACAGCAGCTAGATGATTCATGGCTAGCCTTGCTCATTATTAAACAGAGCTCAGTCGTGCGCCTCTGGTCGAAGGATGTTTTCCTGTGCACTTCCAGGTCCCCCAAGCCTAGAATGTAGTCAAGTCCTGCCAGCTGACTTACACAAATCTGGCTGGTTGGAAGAAGGAAAAAAAATGCCAGCGGGATTGGTGAAGATCAGCTGGCATTAGATGTGAGGCTGCCTTCCAGGTTCCCTCTGCCCAGAAACTATCATCTGGCTCCTTTAAGGCAATCCAGGATTGAGGGTGGGTAGCGGAGAGAAGGCTTTGTGAGTTGAAAGCAGGAGAAAGATCCACCAGCTGACACGCTGGATTTGGGCAGAAAAAGCACACTGAGCTCCCAACCTGCTTAAGGGCTTAAGAAGAGGCTGCCAGTAATGTCAGAGAACTAGCTGGAGGAGCTGTTTCTCTATAACCATCCAATATGTGAAGGTTAAGCTGCCATCCTTTTGCCTCCAACCACCACCAAAAAGCAGTATCAGGTTTCTGGCTGACTATCTATGACCTTCCTTTCGCTAGAGCTTTTTATGTTTTCCAAGGCCTACTGCAAAGGTTCGGACCAAACAGCATCGAGTTACCTGTCAGATGGAGGTCACAGCCAGGCACCTCTCAGGTGAGTTTTGGCACCTTTCAGGGGGGTGCCGTTGCCATTCTAAGAGTAAGAGGGAGGTGTTCATGGCGAGTTCTGG